TTATAAAGGCTGTTCACTAAAAATAAGTCATCAGCTCATAGAGGAATCTTTATGGATAAACTTTTCATGTTAAGACACTGAAAATAATGGTACAGGTAATCCTAGAAATCATATCCAGGCACATGAAGGAAAAGAAAGTCATCAGGAGTAATCAGCATAGCTGATAACCAGGGGAAAGTTGTGCTTGACTGACCTGTAAGCTTCTACAATTAAATGACTGCCCAAGTAGATAGAGTAAGACAAGAGTACTACAATGTCTACCTAGGCTTCAGTAAGGCCTTTGGTGGGGCTTCTTACAAGAGTCTCACAACCTGGTACTGTAGTAGCTGAATGAGCAGACACTGAAGTAGACTGAAAACAGGCTGAATGGTTGGGCCCTGAGGGTACTGATGAACAGTGCAAAGTCTAATTGGAGGCTGAAAAACCTGATGTACCCCAGGGGTCCATACTGAGTTGAGTCCTTTTTAATATCTTCATTAATCATCTTCATGATAGGGTGTGGTGTACTCTCAGTGAGTTTGCTGATGACACAGAGCTGGGAGGAGTGGATGATAGGTCATCCAGATGGGATGGTTGCCATCCAGAGGGACCTGACAGGTTGGAAATCTGGTCTGACAGGAAGTTCAGCAAGCAGTGCAAAAACCTGCAACCGTTGAGGAAGAGTCCCACTCACCAGTATGATGTGCAGGGGGCCATGCAGATAGAAAGGAGATTGGTTGAAATGGACCTCAGTCTGCTCATGAGCACCAAACTAAGCATGAACTGGAAAGGTATTCTTGCTGTATGGGATGTTACTGGTATCTCAGCTGCATTAGAAGTATTGCCAAGCAAAGAGGGTGCTCTTTCTCCTCTGCTCAGCACTGGTGAAATCTTACCTGAAGTCCTGCATTCAGCTCTAGGCTCCCTGGAGAAGACTGATAAGCTACTGGAGAGAGTCCAGAAAAGGACCATAAAGATGATGGAGGGACTGGAGCATCTCTCCTATCACAAAAGGCTTAATGGAGCTGAGACTGTGTAACCTGGAGAAGAGAAGGCTCAAGGGTGAATCCCATATCCATGTATATAAATACCTGATGAGAGAGTGCAAAGATGATGGAGCAAGGCTCAGTAGTGCTCAGTCACAGGATTTTTCTATGATTCTGTTATATATTGCACCACTAGCTGCTTCTGGTTGCTCCTGAACCCAGGATGGTGTCGTGGCTTGACACGGGAAAAGAATTTTCTTGGAAGGAAGAGGTCAGTCCAGTCAGGGGTGAGGTTTGGATACTGACACTTGGGGTGACCAATTGAAGGTGGGCACGTCTCTGAGAACACAGAGGGGTTAAAAGCAGAACTCCCAGGAGAACTCGCTCTCTTTGGTTCCGGTCAGCAGGGAGTGCAGACCTCCCCTGCCCAGCAATGAGCTGGTGGGGGAGGGGAAAAGCCATGTGGCCTGCAGAGGTAGGCCAGGGGGTGAAGGATTGGGAACCGAGCTGGGCCAGCTCCTGCAGACGGAAGGGTGGAGAACGTCTGAGATGTCTTTGTTCCCCCACAACCTAGAGGGAAAGAGATGGAGAGCCTGCAGACACCCGGGAGTTTGCCGGCAGAGGAGAAGGAGAAGTGGGGGGAAGATGCCCAGCCTGGGAGATGGAGTTCTGGGCCAAGATTTCAGCCATCCGGGGAGTCCGGGAATTTTAACCCTTTCCTGTGAAATGAAGGCTTTGTGAAATATTGCTCCTCCTCAATTTGAAGGAAAGAGAGACAGCCAGGGACCTCAGTTGTTAGGGAAAGAAGGTTGGGGGGAGATGATGGAGTGGCTGTTGGCTGGGCTTTCCTTGTTAGCCATAGACTGAACCAACTTCTCCTCCAAGAGAGACTGCGTTTTAGGGGGATGCAATGGTGAGCCAAGAAACTCCACCAGCAACTACCAGTTCAGGAATGAACAGAGGTCAGCAGAGGGTGTGAGGATGCCCTCCATCTTCAGAGAAGAAGAGAAGGCGATCTCTGTTCTTGGACCCCCGGCCCCAGGGGAAAATGTGGGGGACTGTAGTCCCAAAATGAGACACGGGACTGTTGTTCCTGTTGGTCCTTGGCAAAGCATCCTTAAAGGAGCCCTATTAGCAGTCTCTGTCCNGGGGGACTGTAGTCCCAAAATGAGACACGGGACTGTTGTTCCTGTTGGTCCTTGGCAAAGCATCCTTAAAGGAGCCCTATTAGCAGTCTCTGTCCATGTATGGTGGTGAGAGCACTGTGACATGGAGAGGAGAGTGTCACACTGGCTCAGTGTATTTGGGCAGTGCCATGTGTGACATGGAAACACAAGAGGTGGCAGCTGTGTTTCCTGGGGCTCTATGGTGCAAGGGAGACTCCTCTCTCCCCTGATGGACTCAGTATTGATTATGTGGAAGGGTGAAGACTGGATTAAGGGTCCAAATGTGTCTCGCTGTGATTTGTTGGAATTGGGTGGGGGGGAGGAGGAATGTTTTGAAAGGTTTTCATTTCGAATTTTGTGTAGTTATTTTTTTCCCCTTTATAGTAGTAGTAGTAGTAGTATTAGTGTAATAAAGTTTTCCCCTTGTTATTAAGTTTGGCCTGCTTTGCTCTGTTCTAGATTGCATTTCACAGCATTTAATTCATAGGTTACATTTTCATAGAGGTGCTGGCATTGTGCCAGTTTCAAACTATGACAGATGGGTATGAAGTTGTTGTATATTCTACTCTGTATTTCCAAAGACTTTTCTGAATGAAAACATCTTAGCACAACCTTAAAAATGTTCACACAACCTTAACAAGAAAGGAGTGTTTTCTTTTTAATGTATAGATGTTCATCCTAAGAATGATAGAAAAGAAGGAAAAGGAGAAATGAGGTGTTCTGCATAGTCTTGTAGTGGCATCTCATCTCTGATCTTTTATATAGATACATCAGTTCAGGGAGTGAGAGCATAATATACAAGGAATTAACATTGATTGCACTTTGTAGTGTTGGAGACAAGGTGAGCCTCCCATTTTATAGGAATTTTGCCAACAGCAAATCAACAGGATTTCAATTGTAATAATCTGTCATATGTAGGAAGGGGCATATCAGTGACTTGACATACACCTTAGGAAAAGGCAGCGGTTTTTACTTAGTAAAAAACAATTTGAAGAAAAAATGTTCACCTTGCAGCTAGTACCTTTAATTTTCATTTCACGTATTACGACTCCTGTGATGCAGGAAGCATTCTGATCCATCTTGGGCTGAAAGACTACTGGATGTGGGATCACTGTTACTCTTGCTCTGGATTTGTGCTGTTCCTTGTGCTGCGGTTTTAGGTTTTTGGGACAAAAAGATAATATTTTTTAACCTGCCAAGCTGTTGCCCATCCTCAGGTTTCTTTGTTGGTTTGAAATGTGTCTACATATTAATGCACCTTTAAAAGTGTATTGAGGTCTTATCAGAATGCAGGTGTCTTGATATAAACACCACATCTCTCAAGTTTACCACTGGGAATAGTTTTCTGGGAACAGCCTTTATTATTAACCTGAGCCATTCTGTTAATCCTTGTTTTACTGTTTCTTCTTGCGTGTTAATATGTGTGCATCTCCATCCACTCACACAAGTTTTAGTATGTATGTTACTGTAAAAGATTCTTGTATGTTTTTTTTTCCAGTTTATGTGTTGAGGAAAACTTCATACATTTCATGCCACACCTTTGAAACAGAGGAGCAGAAGCTGTCGTCTTTTTCAAAAAGTTATTAAGCTTACCATTACAAATTCTCAGAATAGCAATCTGTCCTGAAAATGAATTTGGTAAAGGGAAAGGAAAGGGCAGTCAACTAGAGTTTCTGAGACTTCTCTCTGTGAATGTGATGGTAGAGAGTGTATGCACATGCAGATAAAACTGATTCTCAGTAAAGTAGTGGTTTTTAAATACAAGGAAAGCAAATATGATTTAAGTTTAATTAACTACATATTGACTATATTGCCCTTGTCTTGCATTTGGAGTTTTTCTAGTTAAAAGGTGCTACCAGGTCAATGTGAACAAGTAGGCTATGTATTAGACCAGTATTTCTTCCAAAGCATTGTCTTGATACCAATTTTTTCAGTATAGAAAAATAAACACTTCTGCAAATAGTACTCGTAAGACTGCAAGACAGAATTCCCTAGAGGTCATTTAGCAATGCTGTTTTGTGCAAAGGACACTCCAGTGGTCATTTTCTTTCAGATAGTGACAGGTAGTGCACATAAAAAAAAGCCCAGATTTTGGCACTCTGTTCATTTTAGCTTGAAAGTCGTGTGTGTTTTTTCTTCATCTGATTTTAAAATACAGATTTAAGGATCTGCTGTTGCAGAGGTTGCTCCTAGTCAGAGCACACAGATTATCATGCTTCTATATTGTAATATGAAATAATTTTATTTCTGTTTCTATAGTCAAATTTGTTTTATCTTTATACAAAATTGATTTTTGAAGAGCCTGATACAACTCAGTAGAAGGGAAGTCTTTCCTCAGTGCCATTTCATAGAATGCTAATTTGCTAATCTTAGCAAACTTTCAGTCCTTCCAGTTTGTTACTTCTCTCATGAATCCTACAATTTAGAATGAAATTGTCTTTTGAAGCAATGAATTCTAGTTGTATTGGAGTACTTTTTCTATATTGGTGGAGCCAGGCTTTTATGCTTTCATGTTGACATAATGGATTTTGAACATGGTTCAAAATGTGAAGTCAAGATGAAACTTCTTCATATTGTTAGTGCTTAGAACTTGATTATTAATCAAAAGTATCTCATGCTGAAAGTCTCTTCCAAAAGGTTTTGATGTAATTTATGCTATTTCCTTTTCTGCTATATTATTATTGTCATTGTATGTAATGGCAAGAAACAAACATCTTTTGCATCCTATTGCTGGGAATTAGTAGGTATTTGCATAGTCTTTGTCATTAGCAAAGATTTAAATCTTGGTAGCATGTAAAAGTATCGCTATTAAGAATAGCTGATTTCTGATGTGTCTTTTTGTTTTGTTTCTTTTATTTTCTTCCAATAGAAAACCGTTGCATCTCCAACTGTTTCACGCCTCACAGATACTTCAAAATTCACGGGTTCTCACAAAGAGAGGTTTGATGCCAGTGGGAAAGGAAAAGGCAGAGCTGGCCGAGAAGATCTGGTGGATAACTCAGGATATGTATCTGGTTATAAGCATGCAGGCACATACGATCATAAAGTACAAGGAAACAAGTAAGGCTGAGGGTTTACAACACAGAGGGGGATAGAGTATATATTTGTAAGGATGATGTTATGAATCCCATGTTTCAATTATTTTGAATGTCGAGACTATGTTGTCAAGAAGTTGTCTTCAGGAACTGGAACTGATTTCAACATCTGCTGAGCTACATGCAGCACAATGCCACTTCTTTACATTCCTCATGCATATTTTGGCAAAAATAAATAAATAAATATGTAGGTATAAAAAATACATTATTTTGTTGAGCTTTAGGAAAAAAAACCCAAACCAGCAAACAACAAAGACAAAGTTAAGAGCAGTTATACCACACTTTGTCAATTCTAGCAAAAGATCTCAAACATTCCTAGGTTGCCCTGATGATGTCAAAGAGAACCTTTTGAAAAGAGGATCTTTTGTAGCAGTATTTCTGAAGAATATCCCATTACTTATGCAGTTTCATTTCACTGTTGCTTTAGGTTTTGGGTTTTTTTTAAGTGTCTTTTATGGGATCTAGCACTTTTCTTAAAACATTCAACTATAAACTACTGGGAAATAAGTAGTAGTAATATACTAGGTTCTAGCCTGTGATTGTCATATACCACTCATTGGAAAACTGAAAAAAAGCTATTTCTAGGACAATATAGGCTCTAAAGTATTTTATGTCAACAGAAAGAGTTGGAAAATACCAGCCCTTACTTTCCTCCTGTCTATACTTTGTCTTTGTTCTTGTGTGTACTGTAGCATGGTTCTGACTGGCTGGATTTGGATGGAGCTATTGTACTAATCTGAGAAGTGAGGAACAAGACTTTACTAAGAAAGTATAGTTAAGGATTTTCACAGTCTGTTTTCAAATTTGCACTGCCTCACATTGGAAGTGAAGGGGGCATTAAGCTAATAATAGTTTAAAATATTGTTTATGACTTAACACTGCCAATCAGATTGCTATTAAATGAAAGTTGTTTTGCACATATGTTGTCACATAGGCCCTTTAAGCTCTAACATATATAAGGAAAGCTTATGACCCCTTGGAGTAAGGACATTTACAATTAATATCTATGTAATTAGGTGCAATTTTACCCCAAAAAACCAACATTATAACTGGGCTATATTTTATGATAGATTCATTTGAATCCAAGGGACAAGGGATTTGTTTACTCTTGTTGCTAGACTTGGGATTAATAGTATTGCTGGGAATGGCTTTCCAATCTTACCGGGAGAGCCAGTCCCACAGGTTTAAGGTACAGGCAGCTGAGTGTGACCTAGCTGGTGTCCAGAATGCCAAAAGAAATTAATTGAAATAAAAATAACTTTTTTTTAAATACTGGTTTTAAAGGAGAGAAAACGCCGTTCCAATTTTCTGCAAGAGCTGAACAAATACCTTGATGTATTACTCTGTTTCTCTAAAGTTATGAAAGATAGGTTGTTCAGTATTCAAAACCAGCTCTTTGCAGTTCTGCTTTGCTTTCTTTCAAAAAGAGCTTGTGCCCTGATTTTCACATTCAACTCTTAATAAAGGTTAATAGATGTATTGCTCTCCCCCTACCCATACCAGCAATCCACTCAATACATAAACGTAGGTGAGCAGTGTATGCTGTCATGTGCCATGCAGGTGAACAATCTGTATTTGGCCAATGTATGGAAAGGGAGCACTGGTTTTCAGCCCTTACACTGTTCATGTTTTGTTCTGCTGACATTATGTGGTAGCCTGTCCTGTAATTTCACCCTCAGTGAAGACCCTTTGAGCGCATACATCAACCTAAAACCAAAACAACAATAGCAAACAAAATGCAAGGGCTTCCTTGTGGACTTGGACATGCTTTTGTTTGTAATTAACATTGATGTTTTTCTTTAAGCGGGAGGGAAGTTTGCCAAAACAGCACATGCTCCTGTAAAGATTTAACTGGCTTTTCCCATGGATGGCTTTGGTTACCTGGGAAGAGTTTAGGTGTATGTAAAGATGCTCAGGATGCAAAGTGTTCAACTTTGTGAACCCTTTCCAAGAATTAGCCAGTGTTCTTGAAAAGTGAAAGGTTATCCACTCCTGTGTTGCACTGGGGACCTGTCACACTCCAAAGCAGAAAACAGGATACTTGATACCAACAGTGGCTAAATTATTCTGGCATGGTAGTAAACTGTCTAAATGTAAAGAGCCTTCTTTGTCATTGGTGCCTGTGCACCTGAAGATGGCTCCAGGGTAGTCCTTGTTTTTTTTACTGAATAAAAAGGCTGAGCCTACAACCCTTGATAAATGCTTCAGCTGAGTTACATGCAAAATCAGTATCCCTGTTTTTCCTTTTGACTTTACTTGACTAATAACTCACTGGTAACTGAAAAGTTCTGGACCCAGCCTCACTAAAGGGTGAAGTCCAGCCTACTGCAGCGTCCCAGAGTACACTGTTGACCCGGGCATTTGTTTGTTGCTAGCTATTGTCTGGCACATTGGGCGACACTTTGCTTTTAGGTACACAAAGGACAGACTTTCTCAGGTGCCCAAATACAGAGTCTGTAATGCCATAATGTTTCCATACAGGAGGAGTGATTGGTTAGGAAGATTTAAAGATATAATTAGGTTTTAAGCTGTTAGTTCAAAGTGAGAGAGATCAGCACACAAATATGATAGAAGGCATGCCAGGGAATTGAGAGTGCAGACAGATCCAAGCTGACACTATCTAGAAATTGACTTATAAGAGACTGATGGAATGAGCTAAGGTTCTGCCAGAGTTTACTTTGCATTGCTTGTGCAGTATAAAATCCCTGCCATGAACCAAAGCACTTTATTTGTACCTGATGCAAACTTTGAAATTCTTTCAATGGCATGGTAAGCTTGGGATCAGAACCTGAGAAGATGGTTCAGACAGCAGTATTTTATTTTGAGGAACATATTTCTTTTTTCTTCTTTGTTTCTTCAGTCTGATAGTTTTAAACCTCAAAGTGATACATGAAAAGAAGTCATTCTGATGAAACAGTTTAAAAGGAAAGTTGTTGCTAGGAAGATAGTACTTAGTAAAGGTTTTTCTCTTTTAACTATGCTTGGTGTGAAAGATAATGGTTATGAATAAAAGTATCTTATGCATCAGTATATTAGGGGTTCTTAAGCTCTTATTATTCCACTAATATTGGTAGAAATTAAAAGCCTAAATACTTGCTTGATTATTAGCTCTTAAGCTCCAGGTCTGCTTGGGAATGAGGCAAAGTACATTTTACTCATCTGCTATTCCCTCAACTCTCAGGACAGTAAGTACAGCTTATACCTCAAAGATGACAGGAAGGGATAGCTGAGGAGGTGCCCCACTTTCAGCCCTTAGAGTGTTGTAGAGCATATTCTTTTCTGATGCACCATGCTGCAGACTGTAACTAAATTTCATGTCTGACGTAAGGACATGGGAACCTAATAAGGTTTACTGTTCTCTCTTTTTTTGGGGGGGGCATCTCAATTCATTCCATCTAAATTTCCAGCTTGATTTTCAGCATCTTCCACTATGTAACACTGTCTTATGTGATATCTTCTATAAAACCCTGTTGTTCCTAGTTATCTTTCCTTTCATTACTACAGTAGATGCTACCAAAAGAAATGTGATCCGAAAGTTTAGATAGCTTTTAGAAATAACTGCCTTAAAGAACAAACTCAAATTTCATTTAAATACTGTGGCAGTACACAATCCTTACCTGTGTGTCTACTGAAGCCTAACCTGACCATCAAAACCTGACAAGACTGAGGACAAGAAACGAGAATCCTTACTGAGGCAAATGAATAGTCATCATAAATAATTTTCTAAAAATAATGTAGTTTTTTAGTAAAATATGCAGCAGTCAAAAGGGATTTTCTTCTTAGGGCTTGCTTACTAATTTTGTTTAGTCACTCCATGAGCTTTAGTTGAACGTTTCCCTGGGAGTTTTGCAGCCATTAGTATGGAAATACAAAAACCAAAAATGATTGGCCTGCTCTTTGTGGTTATCAAAGCTATCACAATAGCATTACTGAGAAGCAGACATTGAAAAACATACATAGTTTCATGGGTCCTATATGAACAGCTGTAATTAATTGTAGTCAAATATTTGTAATTCCAAGGGGAATGTTGAATATTAGACTATAGCCAAAATTTAGTCCCTATTTTTTAAAACTTTAATACTTCTTACCGCCTTTTCATTTAGGGAAGGGAAAGGGAGATTTCAAAACTACTTGTGTCACAGTTTGTGTTTTTCATCAGCATAGAGATTGTCTTTCAAAGATATTTTAAATTCAAGCATCTATTTTACTGACCTTACCTAAATTAAAAATTCTGACAATTAAATTCAAAAGTCTGACAATGTTTTAGCATTATGCAAAGCTTTGTTCACAAAGTACCATTTTAGTCCTCCATATTTTCCCTCTATTGGCGCAATTAATATTTTTTATAGTAGCTGGAATTAGGCAGAACAAAAAGGCAAATGATTACTATGGGTTTGACTTGCAAGTGATAAGTATCCCAGCCATCTGTAACCATCTGTAGAGAAAATCCTCATGTATATTCCTCCAAAACCAACACTTTAAAGTTGTAATTGATAGGTTTTTTCCTCGAGGCTTTACATAGTTATGAAATTAATTTTAATTCTTTGTGCCTGCATGTATGATAGTCAAAACATAACCCTGCCTTCAGGGATGCATGTATTCTGGGGGCACGTGCCTGTCATCCGTGAATAAGAATTCTCTGCACTGGCCAAGAGCAAATGTAGCGTTGCACTGGTATGTGTCCTCCTCTTAACTGACTGTCAACCTTGCGTGTGTGCCAAAATAACTACACCTTTGTGTATGTTGTTTGTAGTGTGAATATTATGTTCTTGGCTTGTCATTTAGTTGGTATTAAGTAATGTAATGCACAAGACTTGTGTAGGTTTGTGTGTGTGCATACACATGCTCTTTGGATCTGGCATAAGTAATTAAACTGTATACATGTTGATGAAAAACTTAAATTTTATTAGGGACAAGCTCTAGTCCTGCAGCCAGTGCTGTTCCACTTGGCTGGTTGGGGGTGTTGTCATTCTCCCTTCATACCATAAAGGTAAAAATTTAAGGAGGCTTTTATGGTTTTACCTGTCTACCCTGTTCTGAGAGCAATCACTCTTCAGCAATTCTAACATAGACTTAGTGTGACAAGAGGAGTTTCTCCATGGTGAGGAAGTAGGAGTGAGTAAGGGTGAAAGCAAGCTTTCCTCTGAGTACACTTAAGAAACCATTTAAAACTATGCTCTGCATGGGCCCTGTATTTTCCTTTGCCTCACCTTTGTGAAGCAAGGTGACACTCACTGTGTAAACACAGAGTTGTTCCTCACCTGTTAGTAAGTATAAAGCTGTGGTACAATGAGATGGGAACAGGAAACAGGAGTGTCATACATTGCCTATGGATTCAAGTCTTGCTTGAACCTTTGTACAATTAAATACCAGAAGCATAATGACAGCTCTTAAACTTGTGTGAAATTCTTAATGTCTGGAGTACCTCAAATTAATATATGTGTACCTCCTATATTTGGAGTGTTTGCCCATAAAATATCATTTAACATTCAGTTGCTCATTTTGTGCAACCCCAAAATGCCCATTTGGCTTACTCAATATTACCTGGAAATGATGGTCAGGGATGTTCAAGTCTTCAGAATCCTAGAACTACCAAGAAACCTGTAGCTGAATTCATGCTGGCTCTTTAAACCCAAAACCAATGCTTTGAATTCTGTCCCAGCTAAGAATAATGCTTCTAGAAGTAAAAGAATATTGCAGATAGAACCTCCATGTCTTCATTGTCCAAGTAATTTATTTTTTTCAGGGAGAAATATCTGTTTATATATATTTAGTATTTTTTTCAGTATATTAACCTTGGTATATTGCTTTAAAAACCCTATGGAGAAGGTGGATTTAAAAACAAGTTTAAGATACAACTCTTGACTTGTCAGAAAACGTTTGAATTGGCTTATTTCATTCAAACTAATTGATCATGAACTCAAGGCAGACTTTAGCAAGAATAATTCTGATCATAAACAAAAGGGAGGAAATTACAGCATTCTTGACAGACATTTGCAGTTCTGGTAGTCTGAAGCAATTTTTTTTTAAAGTTATCTTTTGTATTCATGCACATGCACATGTGCATGCACACAGGCACCTACTTAGGGACATGGATATACATGAGGGCAAAAGTACAGAAGAGACATTTTTTTCTCTTTAAACCTTGGATTTAGAAATTCACATTGAAATGACCAACTGACTAACCTGATTTGGAAAAATGATAAGCTACTATCATATTCCATTGCAGCTAAATAGCCAATGAATTAATTTTTAAATACAGTAATACAACATCTCTTTTTTGTGAGTTACTGTAAAGCTTATGGCACTGTACAAAGTGAGTTTTGATGTAAACATTTGGAAAGGCCTCAAAGATAATGCTCATGATAATTTGCCCTTACCTATCTTTATGCAAGGTTTTTCTACTACTTTGCACATTTTTCAGAAAACATCAGAAACATGAGCAAAGTTACACTCAACTAAATTAAAAATGTGGCCATAAAAATACACTCAGTTGCATTTTGATCAGGAGCTACATTATAGATGAACAACAAAATAAGAAAAAAGATGGCAGTCTGAATCCCCACAGTGGTAAATTATTTTAAGTTCCACTTTACATCAGATGACTTTCTATATGCTTTCATTTGCTCAAATACTATTTTTAAACAAAGTAATTAAATGTGAAATAATGCAGCCTGGGCTCTGTTAAATAGGGTTATATTAATGCAACTGAAATGCTGTGTATGTCTGTAATATTCAAGCTAAATATGTACTAGATCTTTAAAAAGGTTTTGTGTAAAATCAGTTAACCTACAAAATTATATCCTGTATAAAATTGTGTTGGCAAACTACTTTTGTTACACTGTAGTGTGTGAAAAGGTAAGATCATAGGCAAAAACAAGTTATATGGTGCAAAAAAGTGTGTTTGTTTTTAATCTTTGTGCTGAGTTCAAAATATATCAGCTTTGGCAAATTCTTGCAGCAGGGAAAATTTTGTACAATGCTTATAATACAAAGTAATTTGTCTTTACATTCTGTAAAGCAGAGAAATGGTCAATGTTGGATAAGTATATTGAAGTTTATTCTTAGCAAGGTGTTATATTTCACAGATTTAAATATTAGAGGAGAAATATATATTTATACAGAAGTATAATTTTTGAATTAGATTCAGTCATGAACCTTTTATTTATCCACATTATGCTTTATTCCTTTGCTAGCTTATTTATCAGTCCATGCTATTCCAACATCCATTTCTAATTCGATTTAGTTGTTTTGATTCTTCATTTGCACAAATCTGGATATGCATGCTGTCAGGACCTGATCATAAAGGGTGGAGGCAAAACTGTTTTGTCTTTGATTACATAGAGCACTAATTGAAATTTAATTGTTAAGCAGTTGGGATATGGAGAGAGGTCTTGACATAGTCTTCCTTGGAGCATTGTACACGATTATAAAAAAACTTCAGTGAAGCTTACTAGTTTTTGTTCTTATTTTCATTTGTCTTTCATCAACCAGGAAGTTGCTGTGTGCTAAAAATTACCTGCAATATTTCTAATTGCAGACTTTGCAAACATTGACATGCAGCTGTACTAGCCTACTGTGTTCACTGTGAAATTTTCAACACGGTAAAAAATTTTACATGATCATTTAATCTTACAAGTTTACTTTTTCTCACTAATTTAACACTGAATCTTCTTTACATTATTGCAAATTAACAACTTGAGCATAGCATTTCTAAATCGTAACTATAGTAGATAAACGTGTCCTAAGCAAAGATTTTTAACCACTTGATGAAGGGGGCCAGGCATCATCCAGTGCAAAGCACACTGGGCAAAATCTTATCCCCACTGCAGCCAGTTCCACAATTCTAGCTGGTATTAGCAAAAATGGAACCACCATTTCCAAGGGGTTAATACGCTTAGTAACTATGACAAGAGGTTATGGGGGAGCACAACAGTGATTCTCTTATTTCCATGTCTTTGTTTCTGTTAATTTAAAACTACTACTCTTCAATCTTTAAAATAAGTAAAAGAAACTTGAAGGGGGGGATCATATACTACTTGTTTGTACTAGGTTTTTTCAGGAAAAGGAAACAAATTTATATATATATATATATATATATACAATATATTTTTACACTGTTTATTAATGCTAGAAAGTATTAAATGTATCACTTTATCTGTGTGAATGTTGAAGTAATGACAATGTTATGGATGTTTTAAACCTTTTGAAGTTGTCTTGTTAAATTCTAAACCCACATTAACAATGGAAAAGCTACTTTGTCTGCAGCATTATTGTTGATGTTTTAGGGGAAAAGTTCAAGTTCAGCAGTTGTTTTGATTAGCACTGTAAAAGCTTGGCTTGACAAGTTATAGTGAAATCCATATTTTAAACACCATTTCATTAAAGCATAGCTTCTCATAAAGTACATTATTGCTGTTGACTGACTGTATAAAATTGTATTTTTAGTTGGTAAAGTGATCAATAAATGTGTTACTACATCAGTTCTGGGATTTATTGAGTAAATGGTATTTGCTGATAAACTTTGTAAGTAACAGTTATTTTACAGTTTAGATGTTAATTTAGTTGCTGATAAATTTATAAATTGCATAAAAATACTCTCTGAACATTCAGATGTCTGATTCTGAGCAGAATTGATTTCTTCTTTACTGTTTATTTTCCTAGTTTGAATAATGACTAAAGCTGACCATTAATATTTTGAGGATTCTAGTATGATGCTTGAATAGCCATCATGATGGTGATCCACCAAATGATATCTGTCAGGGATGAAGCCATTTATTCTTATCTTTGTACCAAAGATAGCTTGATCTTCTGTGCAAAAGCCTGTGTTACTTCTTTCAGCTTCTTTAAGTGGTCTTGAAAATATTTTACTTTTAAGGAAAGAAAGATATTTGCTACAAAGAACATTGTTTTAATGATGTTACATCCAAAAGCAAATATGGACCTTTTGCTTATAAATAACAACATCACTCAGCTCTCCAGTACCAATAATAACATGATTTTATTCAAGAAGCAGAAGACTGAAGTATTTAACTCACAACATTGTAACAGCATAATTAATAATGCAACCAAAAAAACCCAAAAATTAAGAGTACTGCTCTAGAAATGTAGCAGTGTCAATTGACAATTTGTCAATTGTTAATTGACAAAATGAGCAGTCAATTGCTAATCCAGTGGTTAGCAACTGCAAAAACAGCTTATAGCTACCCTGTCTCTTTGCCAGTTGTTCTCAGACTGGAAATGGTATTCCTTGTTCTCACACACTAGACAACCTTCTTTAGAACTGCCTTTTAAGTGAAATTTAATACAGCTGTGTCCTGAGATAGCTTTTCTTTCTGCATGGAGACCATGGACTGTCCCTCCTCTACTCCTTTTAACTCAGCATGTATGTTACTGAAGCTGTAAAAAACATAGTGAAGCAGAACCTATAGGAAAAATCAAATTCTTTACCATTCAAAAAGCCTTTAAGATAGGCTTATTATTCTCTATGAGAATATAAGACACTAAGATCTGTATTTTCAAGAGTTAAGGATTTTTTAATATTTTTCTGTAAGGCCTCTAGAAATGCCCACTCACCCCTACACCACTTTGACATCATGACTTTAAAATTAACCCCCCTCTGCTAGGATGTGTTCTCTTTACTCCAGGAATACAATTATTTGGGCTAGTTTTCAGTCTGTGCAGCTACTCTTGCAATAGCTACACACTCCTGCTCTCATGTCCATATGTCACGTGCAGGCTGATCTTTTCTGCTTCTGTCAAGCTGTTCTACCACAGCCAGGACTGCACAGACCAAGGTGTAGAGGCAAAAGCTACCTCTGCCAAATCTGAGTCTTCAGGGGACTTAACCTGGTCTTCTAATTAGCCTTTTTTTTTTCATTTCTTCAACTTTCTATATAACTCACTGCACTGATCTATTAATGATGTGAACTAGCCCAAGTACATTGAAGGGTCACATACGTATTGATAAGTATTCATTAAATGCCCTCTCAGTCATCTCCACAACAATAGTGAATTTGTATGGAAGGAACCAAAGGCAGAGATTTAGGTGGTCTGGGGAGGAACAAGCACAGGGAAACAGGGGAATAAGGGACTAGTCTCTGGTCCATGCAGTTATTTGGTGATGTCCTGGATGTCCTAAATGCCAGCTGCCCTGTCTTATTAATTTAAATGTCTATTTTCTTAGATGAGGTGATTCTCTGTTCTGTGTACATATGTGCTTACGGAGGTTTAAGTGCTACCAGCTGGAGTCATACCACGGGTCACAACAGCCAGTGTTACCAGTGGTGCCAGCAACTGGAGTGGAGTCTGTGGATGTGAGGAACCCATATGCCTGTGGTGCCAGCAACTGGGCCAGGTGAGGGTATGTCTACACTATTTGGCTGCCAGCAGATACTGAGCTGAACCTAGACAGCAGGCAGGGGCTTTAGCTCAGTTAACAAAGCATTCATAACCTGGGCCAGATACATGTATGTCTCTGAGACAGCTGGAAGCACATACCAAAGGGACCAGGCAGTCTGTAACAACTGCTGGGGAGGCTATAAGGTCTGATGGTGTGTGTGTCTCTACACAGGAGATGATAGAATTTGTGGGATAGTTACTCACCTGGCTGCACATCTAAGCCCAGTTACTCAAGGGATCCAGTGTGTGCTGGTCTGCATTAGGTGGGAAGGGAATGATGACATGGGACTGTACCAGCAGATGAAGTGTAGCTGTGGTCTTCATAGTCTTGCATGTCCAGATTCCAGCATCAGGGGAAAATAGTAATCTAGGCACTAGTCATTGGATAGGCTGCCTTGAGGGAATCTCATTAAATATACATGTTTCCTACTAGCCCTTCATCCTGGTCAGCCATAGACAGGTTGTTGGAATTGATTTTGGTTCTTTGGTGGTGCTGGCTTTGTGTTTTTAAGTGTGGAGAATTTCTGTCCATCAACACTACCATCATGAAACAACTTTGCCTTCTTTGCAGTGGTACTAACATCTGTTGTTGCCTGTATTGTTACAAAAATATTGATTTGTTGTTGTTAACTGATAATAGCTTTGATTAAATTGCTCAAATTGAGTCTCAAGGCATGTGCATGTTCGCTAATTCTTGATAGAAATTAAATTTCTTTAAATAAAACAATTCAGGCAACCAATTTTGGTCATTACCCCAGCTAAATTAATTTTTTTTTAGTATTTCCTTTCAGTAGCATTCTGGTAGGTTTTTTCTATTTTAGTGCTACTAATTTGAACTTTTACTACAAAGCAAACTCTTCAAAGGAACATTTCTTAATGGAAAGAATTCTTTTAGTCATACACTGACATTTATTCAGTGAGAGTAGGTTTCATATGTTGACATCACTGGACCAGATGGAGTATAAAATACGAAAATATAAACACAGGTTTTTTTATATAAGATTAAAATTTCTTATATCTTTATATGTTAAACATACATATATATATATATATATATATATATATACACACACACACGCACACATATTGAAATTGGTATGAAATGCTTCCCAGTATTTGAAACTTCATCTCTGTTCTTAGGTACTGTCAGCAGTATGAAGTGATGTTGTATGTTAATTTTGGGATCCTGCTTTAGCTATTTGCCATGACACAGACGTGAAGGATGTAATCTTTTACTTAAGTAAATCTTGTCTGCCTTAAAACACATCACAGCATTTTGTCCTATGTGCAGTCTTTACTTATTGCCTTCTCATTGTCATCATCCTCATAAGCAGCACTTGACAATGGCTTTCATCTTGAACTGTGTCTCATTCTGCTCTTCTCAGTTTCTTGTCTGTCTGTTCTGTGATGTCCCACCCTATGGGGAAGGAAGCACCCAAGAATAGTAAATGTGGTCAAAAGGAATGACAAAAGTGAGAGAGCCCACAAAGTTTTATTAGTAAATTACACACTTGGCATGGAAACAGATATGTTAGTCACTGACCTATGCTGTAAGCTAAAAGTGGGGTTTGGGTGATGGGATAAGGTCAGAGGGAAGAGAGAAAGGAAGAGATTAATTAAAGAGGGGAAGAGAAAGAGAGGTCATCTCTTTGGCCAGATGGTGTGTGCCTGGGCTTGATCAGTTTTGCCTGCCTTGAGAACAGGTTTCTTGCTTTCTATGCAAATTAGTTATCATTTGCAGTCTGTTCTTTCAGACCTATCTGGACCTAGTTTAGAGGGTTTCACGGGTCTTGGGTGGTCTCATATCCTACTGCTGGATTTGCCCTTGGTTGACAGTTCATGCCTGATTCTTCACTGATGCTGTCTTTTGTTTGCTGTGCCTGTAGGAAGTAGAACAAGGATGTTTGTCCCTGCTCAACCTCCATATGGTCCTGTTCTCCAAGCAAATCTTGTTCCTGGCACAAACCCCCATGGCTGTCCCATTATTGGTGTTTGAGACATACACATTAGCCCCTTATCGTCTGGGCTTCTACAAGCCATAGCTTGATCTCATTTAAACATCACCTGAGATAATTTTGGATCAAGTGGTGTTTCTTTCTAGAAGTAATATAAGGTTGTCTTAAAAATTTAATTTTAACCAAAATTTTTACTTCTTTGCAGAAGCCAGACTATATAACAACTCCTGTTTTAATTACTGTATAAGTAGCTGTTTTCCTCTGATATTTTACACCAGCCAGAACGCCATTAATTATGATTATTGATGCCATATGTTAAAGTTAGAACACTTTATGATGTAGCTAAATACAACTGGATGTTGAACAGAAGACATGAATTAAGCCTTATTTGTGATAAGACTTATTTTTTCACCAAAGTAATGGGGTTATGGGTTTTCTTTTTGGAAACAAGTAAATCCTGTATTTCATAGACCTGTGAAAGGATAAGTCTTTCGCAGGAAGTTAAAAATAATCCAGTAGGTGGTGCACAAGGCATAGTAGAGACAGGCAGTGTTCTGGAGACCTAACTGCCACCTAGAAACTGTTTCAAATTTAAAAAAGAAGTCATCACAATGAATTGAAAGTAATTCCAAAATCAAAGTTAAAATCTTTGATTAAAAGTCTCAATAAGAAGTCCAATATACAAGCAAATTTAACTTTGCCAGTGAAAGTCTTCTTGCATTTCTATGAAGATTCAATGAGTACATCTGGAAGAAACACAAATCTTACTGCTAAAAAGACAAAACCTTTTGTCCTAGAGCCTGCACCATATGATATTGCCAGAGTAGAGCAGGGCGAGTGTGAACTGCCAAATACCTAATGCATGACATTGAGCTGAAACCCAAAGGTCACATCCATTTCTCCTGTCACACAGGAGGAAGGAAAAGGCTTGTGGATCAGTTCCCTGTCATTTCCACTACAGGATGTATGTCCTTAATGTCCAGTACTAGCTCAAGATACTCTTCTGTATAGCCCATGTGCATGTCTTCCTCCACAACACTACCTCCAGTTATTAAATTCCCTGATGTTTCCCTAAGCCATTACCTCCCTGTGTCCCAGAAGCACTCTCACACACACTGCTTGCTAAGCAAGAGGCA